GAGTACCTCAAGACTGTATTTACAAGTGATGGAAAACTGGAGGAAGAGATCGACCGGCGAATTGGAGTAGCCAGTGGCGTTCTGCGTGAACTAGCCCGACCCAATGTGACGAAAGCAGAGCTCAGTCTGAAAACTAAGCTCTCACTATTTAAGTCGGTCTTTATCCCCATATTTACCTACGGTCATGAATCGTGGACCATCACTGAAAAGCTTCGAACCCGGGTACAAGCTGCTGAAATGGGTTTTCTTAGACGAATCGTTGGCCTTCCGCGTCTCGCCATGGTGCGGAATACTGACATCCAGAAGAGCCTTACTATACAGCCTTTGCTTCCCCAGATTGAGAAGTCACAGCTGCGATGGCTTGGCCATGTGTTGCGAATGCCTCCAGAAGAAAAGGCTGAGCAACTGTTTGTTGCGAATCCGAGGGGCAGAAGGCCCAGGGGACGGCCAAGATTAACCTGGTGAAAATATATAGGAGTCTGTTCCAGACTCCAGTTGTCTTCTGCAAAACTCAGACTCTAGGACAGGACCGGGAACGTTGGAAGCACTGCCTCACGCGACCTGAAAGGAGAAACGGCCATGGAAGATGAAAAAGATGAATGATGATCAGTGGAAAGTGTTCGCTAGTTATTAGTTACTCTTTAATATTGCCAGCATTGGTAGCAGTTATAGCTAACGATATTGAGCACACTTGTAGAATAATACAATAAATGCATTTTACTACTCGATAGTTTTTCTTTACTTTGTTAACCAAATTTTCAGTAGTGATATGACTGCTAATATAATCTAGAATCGTAAGCCAGCAATTAGAAGATACCTAGAAACTAGTGAATTGTGAAAATGAAAAGCTACAAGTACTGAAATGTAGGCACTAGCTAGCTGTAACGGTAGAAGTAGTATTATTTAACAGACACTGCCTATAATATTACTTACATTACCTGTAGGTATCTTGTGGTACTTCTGATAGTAAAACCTATCAGTGCAGCAGTAATTAGTTGTCAATACCTACAGGTCTTTAAAAGTTAACAGCTAGAAAAAATAGCAGTGCCTGTACTTCTGACGAGCAGAAACGAGTAAGTTCATGCTTGATCCAGCAGTACATTTGGACTTATTTATGAAAACTCCATGCCGTTACAAGAGACAGAATAATAAATAAAAAACGCTTGGGCAATGAAACCCTTCCGTTCACGCTTACCACCACAAAGACGAGGAAAGTTGACGTATCTGTCGAGGTTGTTGCTGACCTGCGTCCAGAGCTGCTTGAAGACCGGCAGACTTCCAGTAAAGTTGATGCCGGCTAAATGCTGGTTGTTCACAACGGAATCGCCGAACGTCGCGCCATCGGTGGGTACGAAGCTGATTACGCCATCCGGCAGACCAGCCTCCTTCAAGATTTTGAACGACAGGTAGTTGCTGAGCAGTGCTGTTCGCGCAGGCTTCCAGATGACGACGTTACCCTGCAAATAAACGCATAAAATGGCAACACGTATTCAAAACGGCTCCATCTGACGAATCACAGATTTTTATACATTATACCATAATCGCAGGGGCGGTGGCCAGATTCCCGCCGATCGACGTGAAATTAAACGGCGAAATAGCAGCGACGAATCCCTCCAGTCCTCGGAGGATCATACGGTTCGAGGACGTATTCGTCGACATCGGCTGACACTGCGCTAGCTGAAGGGCGTAGTAACAGTTGAACCGCCAGAAGTCGATCATTTCGCAAGCAGCATCGATCTCAGCTTGTACCACCGTTTTACCCTAGCGAACCTCTCATGTAAACATCTGGCAGCAATGATAAATATATAAATTAGATACAACTGTCTACCGGTATTTTGGTAGACATATGAAAACAGCATAGATGATGGGATTTATTAAAGCAGCGCAGTGTATAAATAGTAGTTTATCTGACTGATAAGCTATTAGCAATGCAAACAATCAATTATGAACCAAAAATATATGCATGTATAAATATGCACAAATATGCCATATGGAGATTCGCTTTACGGTCCTGATACTTTAGCGTAATTTGTTCATTACATCTTTCGAGATGCAACATAAATAGTTGGCACGCATATTTTACTCCCAGAAAATGATGTTTCAGACAGTACTCAATCTATTTTCAGCTATCAGTAACTATTGTGCTAATCGCCTAATCAATTCTAAAAAAAACGCGGCGAAAGTTTTCCATTATGCCAAGTACCTCGCAAAGACATGACAGCTGGCAGCAAAACGAAAAACAGGAAATCCAGAGTACGCTGACGGATCAATTCAAAAAATGCGCATGAGAACATCATTTAAAATCATCAGGAAATAAGGATATGTATCGTGTCTTCAAACTTCTGAATGACATCTGCTGTAATATCATCATCCAATCAATATAATCTAGAGAGATTACTGACAGTAAATAGCCACCTGTTAAAACGAACTAATAGATTGGGCAAGATGGAAGGTTGTTAAAACTGCGTCCAGTTGGCATCTGCTCAAATTATATAGATTAAGTAAATACCTGGCCGAGCATAGTCGCGGCGTTCAAGTCCGCCCGGTACTTCGTTGCCGCGAGATCTGCAGCCTTCAGAAAGTACTTCACTCTTTCCTCTAACGGAGTGTTCTCCCACTGGCGTCGAACAGATAACGCGAAAGCGATGCCTTTTTCAATCTGTTCCTGAAAACGTCGAAATAAGGTTAGTCAGGATCAACGATAAAGCGATATACAATATCTGATTCCAAAAAGCTGACTTTTATAGACACGAAGAAGTGCATTCTAAGAATCATTAGGATATGGACACTCAGATATACCTAACTAGACCTAAATATTATACATTTCTACAGACTAACTTTATTAACAGTCATCGCAGTTTAACAGACTACAGAGAAAATGTAGAGAATACACGGATGAGTAAATAAATTTTGTATGAATGTGCATGGCGAATAGGACCTCTTAACTATGCATCAAGTGTATATTCAATTGATCAGTTACTGACTTAAAATCGAAATGCCGTTTAGGAAGTGTTCGTAGCAGATAAAACAAATTTAATTTTCTGTCCTGCGCATGGATCAAGTATGAATCGAAATTTTCACTACCTCATCTTCATTTTCATCTTCCATCGCTGCTTCTCCTTTCGGGTCGCGGAGGCAGACAAGTCAGACAGAGCTTCCAACGTTCCCGATCCTGTGCCAGAGTCTGAGCTTCGGCAAAAGATAAATAGAGTTTGGAACAGACTCCTATATATCTTCACCAGGTTAATCTTGGCCGTCCCCTGGGCCTTCTGCCGGTCGGATTTGCAAGGATCAGTTGCTTAGCCATCCTTTCTGGAGGCATTCGCAACATATACCCAAGCCGTCGCAACGTTCGCTACTTAACGAATAAGAAATTTACTCTGCAGTAGCATTTCGTAACGTATTTTCATGATGTTGAGTTAATTTAACACAGAAATTCTATCGGTTTTTAATAATAAATCAAATATGTATAGTAAGGTATTTAATGGGCAGCAGACAGAATCTCTTAGCAGAATTAAAACTGCACTGCCAAAGGGAACACGCTTCATTTTCCAATTGGTCCAGTGTCCTTTCTTGTTCGTCGCCATCATGTTCGTCTCTCTTTTCTTTCATGTTATTCCTCCTCTGACAATTTTCGCTACTGATCGCCATTCCTTTTCTTCTGCATGTTTTATCTGCTATTCTTCTTGTCTTACTATATATGGTTCACAAAAAATTTTTTTGTATTTACACTCCTATGACGGCAGTAGTTGATTTCGGGTGGTCAAATCTGGACGATCAGTTGCATCTTGCTACCTGCTTAGCACGATCTAACGGACAGTCGCTATAGTGTCTAAAAGGAGCTTTTCTGGATCTTTTAAATCAGTCTCAGACAAATGTAAATGTTCCATGCACTGTCTCATTATCTTCAGAATCAGAGAGTTTGAGGACATGCTTCCGGTTGCTCTGAGCTAATAGTCCTGGTAAAGATTTATTGTCAATTCATTATCTTAATTAGAACATTCTATACAAAGATTAGTAGTAGCTTGAACACAAGTATATACGTAGAGGTACAAGTAGCCAGCCGGAGCATTTGGCCGGCTAGCTTCATCCTCCCTATAACGGTCTTCATGCTGTTTGTTATTCTCTTATATGACGGTTGGTGTGCCTAAAATATCGCCTAAATTCCAGAAATATCTACAAGCGCTGTGGATAAAAGGTAATGTTTTCGCTACTTTATCTGACTCTTCATTTCCTCAAAACACAGCAACTAAATTAACAACCGTTTACAAACGCAGAGCAAATATCAAAGCTGCATCCACAAGGATAATAAAAACTCTGCTGACAAAAACACACAAGTTTCATCCTTAGTTCAGAAGAGGGACATCATGAGCTAAACTTCTTTACAGCCG